TTTTTTTTTTTTTTTAATTTTTTTTTTTTCAACGTTTATTTATTTTTGGGACAGAGAGAGACAGAGCATGAACGGGGGAGGGGCAGAGAGAGAGGGAGACACAGAATCGGAAACAGGCTCCAGGCTGTGAGCATTCAGCCCAGAGCCCGACGCGGGGCTCGAACTCACGGACCGCGAGATCGTGACCTAGCTGAAGTCGGACGCTTAACCGACTGCGCCACCCAGGCGCCCCAATCAGTAACTTTTAAATGAGTAAAAAGAATTCTTCTACTATGTGAAATCTAGAAAATAGCCACTTTCAAGAATGCTCTTACTTAGAATAGAAACACTTTAAGGGCAAGGACACCATTGTAGTTCTCCTACTACCTGCAGCCCTAAGCACAGTATACACTGTATGCCCTCACACATAGGAAACACTCAATAAATGTTTAGGAAATAAATGAATGAAATTTCTTTCTTACAGACCACAGGAGTTTAGAAAGCTGTACTTATTTGCAAATATATGTATCAATTCCAAATTTTGTACAAAGCCAAGTAACATCTTGCAACTTATAAAAGTTCCCTGGAAAGATATGTCAATTAAAAAAAAATCTTAAGAATACAGAAATGTAAGGTTGGGTCATTACAGTGATATTTAAGATCTATACGAGTAGCTTACTAAGATGGTACAAATTTGTTTACTCTCAAATCCAAGTTCTTTGGGCAACTTTAAGATTAACCATCCTTTAGGGGTGCCTGGGTGGCTCAGTCAGTTCAGCATTCGACTTCAGCTTAGGTCATGATCTCACAGTCCGTGAGTTCGAGCCCGGCGTTGGGCTCTGTGCTGACAGCTCAGAGCCTGGGGCCTGCTTCAGATTCTGTGTCTCCCTCTCTCTCTGCCCCTCCCCTGCTCATGCTCTGTGTCCCTCTGTCTCAAAAATAAATTAAAAAAAAAACATTAAAAAAGATTTAAAAAAAATAGTAAAAAAAGATAAACCATCTAATAAAGACCTAAAATATAAACCATGACATTACATAATGTTTGATAATTTTTTCAAGAAATATACACACCATTCAAATTTATATAAAAATAAAGTGTTTTAGGAGTGAATGCTACCATCATAAAAAGTGAGTCTTCTTATTCAAGAAATCAAATTACCTTCAATGGATCAAGTTCGTTCTCATAGGATTTGACAATTTCCTTTGATGATATTAACTGAGCTTCCTTACTAGTAATCTGGTCACGTATCTCACAAGCTTTTTCCTTGTTTTGCTTCAAATATTTTAGTTCTGTTTGACATTCTTTTACTTTCTGACCTTGTGTCTGACGTACCTGCCGCAGCGTTTCCAAGGCTTTAATGTACCTTTGAAGATATTAAATAAAAATCAAACTTCTTTCCAAGTAAATTACATAGGTTCCAACAATGGAATATTATATAGTTGCTAAGATTGCATTTACAAAGAGCTTTTAATACCTTAGAAAATGCTTATGATATAATGGTAAATGAAAACATTACATATAAACTGTCAAGCAGGTAAATAAAAATGCACAGAAAGAAAACAGAAAGAAAATATGCCCACTGGTTGCCACTGGATGAAAGGTAATAACTGATGACTTTACTTTTAAGACTTTTTCTCTTCTAAAAAAGAAATATCCAAATTGCAACCATGGCTCAATAACTTCACAGGTTATAAAGTCTCATTAAAGGCTACAAACCTTGTTGCTGAAAAAATCTCATCAAATTTTTGCTTCAGAGCCTTTCCTTCACTTAAAGGCCAATTAGAGTCTTCTTGGTGACAAAAAATGACATTATTTAGCACAGACTTGGAAACCCCAAGAGAACTTATCATCTCTCGGTCAATTTCTGCACACTTAGAGCTGAGACTGACCTTCTCACCATGCCTACAGAAAATGAAAATCAAGAATTTATGTAAAAAAACCTCCTGTTGTACCTATTCTAATTGCTTAATCAATCCTTTATGCTGTACTTGTTAAAAAAAAAAAAAGTTCCCTCATGCATCCCCAGTTACAATAGCTTTCTTATGGTTAAAAGTTTAACTCTTAAGGATTCAGGAGTTCAATGATGAAAAAGTATGTAAAACAGGGAGGGACAGGAAAAGATTGCCAGAACTAATTTTTTTTTACGTTTGGATTTTTAAATATGGTAATATAAAATATTTACAGACAATAAGTAGAGAAAAATAAACTATCTTCCAATCCCAGGACTTAAAAATAAGAAAAGAGACTTTAACAAAAGTAAAATAAAACATGATGATTCACAGAAGACAGGCAATTGTGCCTTAAACAAAAACATCTAAAGACTATAGTGTTTAGATATGGATTGTTCAGTAACACAATGTAAAAGGATAATAAAGGCAAACTTTAGTGATACCCATTTAAGCAAATTCAAATCAGTAGACCTCAACTTCTAAGGTCACACTGACAAAGCAATCCACTACAGAGAAGTATCTTAGGGTCTTTTAAAGAGTCCCCTACATCATTATACCTAGGGCCAGGAGCATCTCTGCCCTTGAATTTCAAGAGATCGCTCAGTATCTTTCATCAGGAGGACAAATTCTGTGCACTATCTGTTAATAGCTAGATTAGTAAAGTATCTGTCTTTACTGTCATTTATATATTCCAATACATATTTTGAAAATAGTACACTGAATACACCGAGAATGTTTTGTAGGGGGAGAGAATGGACACAGATAGACCAAGAGGTGATCACATTAGACCGGAGAAAACTTATGGTAGCCTGAACTAGAAAGGTCACTGTACAGAAGGAAAAGAAATGGACTCAACAGACATTTAAATCCTAGGTTAAAGCCAGAGGACCTGGTAATGAACTACATACAGAGAGCAAGGAGGTGTCAAGATGTAGAGAGTGTATTCGTTTGTGTCACTGGATGGATGGGGTACCTACCCCATTTGCTACAATGAGGAGCACTGCAAGAGGATCACATAGTGGGAGATTTTTTAAGAGGAGTCAAGGGGACTCATGAGCTTGGTTTTGGACATGTTGAATCCGAGGTGTCTTTGAAAGGGGTGGTAGAAAATGAGAGAGACAGGTGGGTATATGGGTCTGAAAACAGAGGTCTGGAGACCTAAATCTGTCAGTCATCTATGAATAGAGAGTAATTTGAGTAATGGATATGAATGAGATTATCTAGGAAGAGAATACAGAGCAAAAATAGGAGAGGCTTTAGGGCTGAGCCCGTGGAACCAGCTACCTTTATTAGCTGGCTGGATGTAGCTGTGAGGGAGAGACAGAACAGTGTCATGTCATGCAAGTCCAGAAAAAGATCTTCAAGAAGTTATTGATAGCTACCATTTACTGAGTTACAGTATACAGAACAATGGCCCTTCAAAGATATTTATATTCTAATCCCTGTGAATGCATCAGGTTACATGGCAAAAGGGAATGAAGATTACAGAGGAAGTTAAGGTTGCTTTATCATCTGGACCCTAAGTAAAAGAATTACCCTGGATTGTCTGGGTGGGGCCGACACAATCACAAGTGTCTTTAAGTGGGAGAGGGAGCCAGAAGAGGATGTCAGAGTGATGTACTATGAGAACTCAGCCCACTATTGCTGACTTTAAAGATGGAGGGCCATGAGCCAAGTTTTGTGGGTGGATTGCAAAAGACCCAAAAAGGATGTAGAAACAGATTTTCCCTAGAGCCTCCAGAAAGGATTATAGCCCGGCCACCACCTTGATTTTAAGCCAGTGAGACCCAATTTGGATTCCTAAATTACAGAACTATAAGATAATAAATGTCTGTTGTTTTAAACCACTGAGTTTGTGGTTTGTTATGCAAAGAAAACTAATACATGAGCTCTCATTTTACATGCATTAGCTCAATCCTTCTTTCTAAGATATATATAATAAAAATGAATCCCTATTTTACAAATGAAAAAAAAAACCACAGTATTGCAAAAAGATCTATTTAGTAAACCAATAGCATTATCCTAATTAACACAGAGGGTATTTCTGACCTCAGTTGGAGCTGTTTCAGTAAAGGAATGGGGCTAGAGGAGGATGGAGGAAAAACAGAAATAGAGACAGTGATTATCAACAACTCTTATGAGAAGCCTGACTGTGAAGGGGAAAATAGAGACAAACAGTAACTGGTGTGGAATGAAATCCACCTGAGTGTATTTAAATGCCAAGGAAACCAACCTGCTTGAGAAGCCAATAGCTAATATACTGCCTCTAGCACATAATAGGTGACAAATGTTATTAATTAAGAGAATTATTTAATTAGTTGACAAACAAGTGAAAGGCGTAAGGTGATAGTTAAGTAATTTGTACAACAGGGATAAAGCCTTGAATCCAGGGCAGGCTAATTCCAAAATCCAAACCCATTAAAGGTGATAATGTGACTCTAATAAAGGTGACAGTTCAAAGGGTTACACTTTGTATGCTTCTCATTTCACACATTCCTACACACAATACTAGCATTTTCCATTCATTCAATCTATATTTGAGTGATTGTGTACCTTCAGTTGAACAAGTGTTCATAAATTACTCAAAGGAATGCAGCATTATCACAAAATCTTTGATGGGATCATTCTGTTTAACTGATAAAAGATCCAACAGTAACTGTTCATAGTGGATGAAGCTATGCATGCATAGGGTCAGGGAGTATTACAGGAACTCTATTTTCTGCTTAGTTTTGCGGAGAACCTGAAACTGCTCCAAAAAAATAAAGTCTTTAAAAAAATTATTATGCTGCTCTAAAATAAAGTAATGGGAAAAAAAACCCACAGTCTTATAAACCTAAATAACAGAAAATTAATAGATATTCAAATATAAGGTAAACACCTACTTTGTTCTAGTAATGACTCCTTCCAGGGTTTTAAATTCTGTCTTTTTGCTTTTCTGAGTACACACCATAGATCTCTGCACAGCTATAAGTTCTCCATTGACATCACGAAACTGCAGACGAATCTGGGCTCTAACATCTGTTTCTTGAGCAACCTTTAAAGGTACACAGGGAAAGATTATGCTACCTTAATAAGCATCAGAATGTTAGTTCCAAAAGAAAAGACATGAGCAATCTTATCAAAAATGACAAAAACTTAAACATCAAAATGAGTGTCATTTTTACATGCTATTCAAATATACAAGAGAAAAAAAATACTTTTTTTAAAAAAATTTTTTGAGGAGGGGGCAGTTCGAGTGTGTGTAAGCAGGGAAGGGGTGAGAGAGAGAGAGAGACAGAGAGAGAGAGAGACAGAGAGAGAGAGAGAGACAGAGAGAGAGAGAGACAGAGAGACAGAGAGAGAGAGATAGAGAGAGAGATAGAGAGAGAGAGAGACAGAGAGAGAGAGAGAGAAAGAGAGAGAGAAAAAGAGAGAAGGGAGAGCGAGAGCGAGAGAATCCCAAGTAGGCTCCATGCCCAGTAGAGAGCTGATGCAGGGCTTGATCCCATGACCATTAGATCATGACCTGAGCTGAAATCAAGAGTTGGACGCTCAACCAAGTAAGCCACCCAGGCACCCCAAGAACACTCTTTAACTGATTTACTAAAACTGAGTATTTTCTACTTCTGTTATTCAGCATTAGGAGACCAGGTGTGTGAGTTTTTCAAATAAACTTTAGCTTCTTAAATATCGCAAGTGTTTTCCAAAATAATTTTCAAAACATATACAAGCTTACAGAAAAGCAGAAATGAAGTGTACAAAACTTTTCTCCCCTGAACCACTTAAGACTAAGTTGTTGATTTGATGTCCCATCAGTATTTCCTACAAAACAGGGAGACACTGATGGCCCTTCCGAGGTCTCAAAAGAATGTTATCAAAAGGGAGAACTCAAAAGAGAGTTCCATAAGGCCTCCTTACTCTGGCATATCACAATTCAAATGTCACCCAGTCAAGTGTAACCTCTAGAATATCCATTCAGCTCACAGTCCCACTCTTCTACCCCCGTAGTTTATTCTCTGCTAGCCCTCAATAATTCCTGTCCTGGACATGTGTAGCTTAGTATCTGGCCAAAGATTTGATAGTCCCTTACAGAGATTTCTGGTGCCCATCTCTGCACAGCAACCCTTCTCCTGTATCTTATTCCATAATTTATAGTCACATCAGCAAACCCACACTCCTACGTTTGTTTCATCTAGCTGGTAATACTATTATTCTCTGCTGGGGTTTTAATTCTATATGCCAAAGTGTACAAAATTTCCCCAGGGAGAAAGCTAAAATGAATGTGTAGTCCCTCATACATTTCTCTTTTCTCAAAGATCACAGCCCTGTGCCATCTGTTGTCCAATGCCTGAAAATAGTTGCTTCAATTTTTTTGTTCCAGTTTTATAGTTGTTTATACTGGGAGCACAAATATGACACTCCTCGACGGTAACCAAAACCACAAGTCATGAATCCTGCATTTTTTTAAAAATCATAGACTATCTTTTACTGGTCTTTTAATAACTTTTTGGCATAAACATAACTATGATATTAATTGGTCAAATCATTCAAAAAATTAAGCACCAACTTATTACGCACTTGTAGCTTACATGCGTTGTTTTGGTTCAAAAAGAAAGACACTTTCTCCTTTGAAGTATGGGAGACAGGTTAAACAGAAAAGTAAAAAAGTGGTGTTAAACATCGTCTTAAGAGAAGTACATGATACTTTGAAAACACAAAGTAAGCATCTAATCTACCTAGGGTAGAATTCTGGGAAGGGCTTCTAAAGGAAGTGAATGTTTAAACTGAGAACTGACAGATGGGCCGGAGTTAGCCAGATGAAAAGATCTGAGTCACTGAATAGCTAAAGTAATTTCAGAAAGTATGGTGCAGAACAAAGGGGAAAGGGAGTGAAGACAGAAAGTGGTTCCAGTAATTAAGAGCCTTCTGAAACATGTTAAGGGCTTTGAACTTAAAGCAATGGAAAGCCACTTCAGGGGTTTAATCCAGAGGAAAGGCATGCAGTAGATGTGCATTTTAAATGAATCACTTTGCCTTTAAGGTAAACACACTGAACTAACAGAGGCAAGACAGGAGGCAGAGAGTATTCCAGGAGAAACAGGAAGACAGCCTACACAAGAGCTTCAGCATTGGAGGTAGAGGTAAGGAGTGAGAAGTTGTTGGACTGGCTGCTCAGAAGTTGCATGATTCAAACTTAACATACAGATATCCACTGCAAACTATACATTAATAACAATATAGCAGAAAGGAAAATTAAGAAAACAATTCTGTTTACAACTGCACCAAAAAGAGTAAAATACCAAGGAATAAATTTAACCAAGGAAATGAAAGACCTATAATCTAAAAACCGTAAGACAATGATGAAAGAAATTCAAAATGACAAAATGGAAAGATATGCTATGCTCATGGATTGAAATGTTAAATGTTAAGATGTTCATACTATCCAAAGCAACCTAAAGATTCAATGCAATCTGTATCAAAAAACCAATAGCATTTTTCAAAAAACTACAACAAATAATCCTAAAATGTGTATAGAACCACACACAGAAGACCCTGAATAGCCAAAACAATCTTGGAAAGAATAACAAAGCTAGAGGTATCATAATCCCAAATTTCAAGAAATACTGCAAAGCTATAACAATCAGACACACAGATCAACAGAATAGGGAGCCCAGAAATAAACCCACACTTATATGGTCAATTATTCTATAGCAAAGGAGGCAAGAATACACAATGGGGGAAAAGACAGTCTCATTGATAAACAGTATTAGGAAAACTGCACAGCTACTTGCAAAAGAATGAAACCAGACCACTTTCTTTTACCATACACAAAAATAAATTCAAAATGGATTAAAGACCTAAATGTGAGACCTAAAAGCATGAAATTCCTAAAAGAAAACAGTAATCTTGTGGATATCAGCTCTACCAACATATTTATGAATATGTCTCCTCAGGCAAGGGGGAAAAAAGCAAAGATAAACTAATGGTATTACCCCAAAATAAAAAGCTTTTGCACAGCCAAGTAAATCATCAAAAAAAACCCAAAAAGGCAACCTACTGAACGGGAGTGATACTTCTAAATGATATATCTGGTAAGAGGTTAGTATCCAAAATATATAAAGAACTCATACGTCTCAACACCAAACCCCCCCCCCCCCAAATAATCAGATTAAAAATAGGCAGAGGACCTGAATAGACTGATATTTGCCCGAAAACATACAGATGGCCAAAAGACACATGAAAAAAATGTTCTGTATCACTAATCATCAGGGAAACACAAATCAAAACCACCATGAGGTAGCACTTTACTCCAGTCTGAATAGCCAGTATCAAAAAGGTAAGAACGAGTAAGTACTGGTGAGGATGAGAAAAGCAAAACCCCATGCACTGTTGGGAAAAATGTAAACTGGTGCAACTATTGTGGAAAACAGTATGGAAGCTCCTAAAATATTAAAAATAGAAAGACTCTATGATCCAGTAATTCCACTATTGGGTATTTACCCTCCAAAAATGAAAACATAATATGAGAAGATAAAATGCACAGCTATGTTTATTGCAGCATTATTTAGAGTAGCCAAGATACGAAAGCAACCAAAGTGCCCATCTAGACAAGAATGGATAAAGAAGTGGTATATACATACAATGGAGTATTACTCAGCCATAAAAAAAGAATGAAATCTTTTCATTTGAAACAACATGGATGGACCTAGAAGGTATTATGCTACATAAAGTAAGTCAGACACAAAAAGACAAACACCATATGATTTCACTTACATGTGGAATCTAAAAAAAAAACCCAAAAAACAGAATCAAACTCATAAATACAGAGAACTGGTGGTTGCCAGAGGAGGGGTAGGTAAGAGAATGGGTAAAATCGATGAAGGGCATTAACAGGTACTAACTTCCAGTTATAAATAAGTCACAGAGATGAGAAGTACAACATAGAGAATGAGGTCAATTATACTGTAGTAACATTTTAGTGTGGTGACAGCTGTTAACTACAATTATGGTGCAGACCACCATGTAACATACATAACTGCTGAATCACTAGGTGCATATAACACTGCTGAATACAACACTGTATGTCAACTATATTTAAACAGAAAAACTTAATAAAAGAAGAAAAAACTAGTAGCCTCTTAGGATTTGAACATCTCAGTGAAGAAAATGGCCAATGATATTTAGCTGTGAAAGCCCAGGGACTTGATGCTATCATTTCAGCCCAAGGCAAACAGTTGCTGAGGTCTTAATTCACTGCAAAGTAATTATGCATCTATGTACTACAAAACGAGTTAATTTGTTTAGAACATGTCCTACCAGTAGGTCAAATACATATATACATTTTCCATGGCATCTACCCTTTTACGACTTAGCTACGAGAAAAGTATCAAATTAAGAAGAATTTAAGCAACGGGTATCTTGCAGCATTTCAATCACAATATTGTTGGTGAGCTTACTGAGAAGAGGTTCTTCAAAAAGAGTAATCTAGGGGCGCGTGGGTGGCGCAGTCGGTTAAGCGTCCGACTTCAGCCAGGTCACGATCTCGCGGTCCGGGAGTTCGAGCCCCGCGTCGGGCTCTGGGCTGATGGCTCAGAGCCTGGAGCCTGTTTCCGATTCTGTGTCTCCCTCTCTCTCTGCCCCTCCCCCGTTCATGCTCTGTCTCTCTCTGTCCCAAAAATAAATAAATGTTGAAAAAAAAATTAAAAAAAAAAAAAAAGAGTAATCTAGATTTAAGGCAGAAAAATACATACTAACTTTAGAACAATTTCTATCTAAAAGAATAAAACAAAAAATAATAAAAGCCCTTCCCTTTCCAAACAATCTAGTTAGAAAACCATTTTTCCAACAGTGGGGCGGAAGAATGTATGTATTCATGCTGGCTGAAGTTGAGGGACATAGAAACTCAGCCTAAAACAGTACAACTGCTTAGACTGAGAAGGGTGTCCACACGGGCACCTTGCCACAAGGTTTCAAGAGTCCAAGCGTGTCAGAGTTCAAACAGGATGCAAAGGACATCCATGAGTAGGGATGAGCCAGCTTAGGGGAAAGAGGGTA